AGGAGGAACTGGCCTTCGAATCCTGGCTGTGCCACTTGCTAGCCAGGTGGTCTTGGGAAAAGTCTCTTGTTTTCTCTAAACCTCTTGTTCTAAAGTTTTAAAACCAAAGAAAAAACGCTGCCTTTCCCATAGAACAAAGGATCCTGGTACGAGGCCTTTCTTAGGCCTTTTTCCTTTCATCTCCTCATGTTGATTTCTTTTCTTCTCAAAATCAAAGCCTCACCATTACCCCCTGCTCCTCCCCCAAAAGAAAGTCAACCTGCTTCTGGAAAGAATTTAATATTGGTCATTTACACTTCTGTGTAAAATTGCTTAATAATAATGGACATTTGCATTAAGCATTTTACAGTTTACATAGTATTTTTATTATTATTATTTTCCCCCCAAAGCCCCAGTAGATAGTTGTACGTCATAGTTGCACATCCTTCTAGTTGCTGTATGTGGGACGCGGCCTCAGCATGGCTGGAGAAGCGGTGCGTCGGTGTGCACCCGGGATCCGAACCCGGGTCGCCAGCAGCCGAGCGCGCGCACTTAACCGCTAAGCCAAGGGGCCGGCCCTACGTAGTATTTTTAAATACATTTTCTAATTTAATTCTCAAAACAGATTTGAGAGATTATTATGCGCCCTGCTTACAAAGGAGTCACATTCTCAGAAGAGTTCTATGATGGTCTTGCATAAGGTCTGGCAGAACTTTAACAGGAAATATGGGCATCTATGTTGTAGATTAACCTATACTAATTTGCTTTGCATAACTACTATTAAATGCTTTTTGGTAAATAATGGCAGCTTTAGACACAACCTGGCTTCCAGGTTATAATAAAAGCAGGTCTTGGGCCAAATTCTGACACTCATTTATCAAATAAACGTTTGTAAAAGTAGATATAAAACCATTATCTGTAAGCTCAAAGAAGTCTCAACTCGCTAAGATTCTAGATGCTCCGACCCCATCTTGCATGAAGACAGATGTGGCAATTTTACAAAGGCAGGATTCTGTTACTACATAGTGGGTGTTTACCAATGTCCTCTGAACCAAAGGCTGGGGACAGTGCCATTTACTTCTTAGATGTCAGCCACCATCCTTAAGAGTGTACAAGCCAAAGTGCTCCCTCTATTTATATGTCCTATTCATGAAAGGGTGGTGAATATCTCTAATCTACCACTTTGAACACCACCAACTTCACTGATTTCTAACACTCATTTTGCTAATTGACAAGCTACTAATTTCACTGATGAAACCCATTTCTCCCCTTAATTATGCAATTAGCAAAGCCTCAGGGGCCTATGGGAGTTAAAGAGATAAACTACTGGAGGAAGGAAGCCTCCTATGGAGTGTGAGATTTCTGATTAGATCCTGGTTGACCACTCTTGAAGTGTGTATTCCCGAATAGGATGGCTGTTTGCCCCTGGAATGTAATTTAAACTAATCTCAGACACTCACAGCTGTATTTTTTTTTTTTTTTTTTTGTCTCTGCCCAAGTATTTTAAAGCAAATGGTAGACATCCCAACCAGCTTTTAACTATCCTGGGAAGCCAACAGGTGTTATGTGCCATGATATTAGGGCTCCACCTGGAGGGTTAGCTGGGGCAATCCCAAGATTTCCCATTAGCCTCCTAGCATCCTAGTTTTTCTCTGACCTTTGAGAACCCAGTTTGGTGGTTCTTTCATATCTTCCTGTTTTTTTGCATTGGAACATAGTTTATTTCACAAAGGATTTTCTAATCCATTTAATAAATGTGCATTTTATCTGAATCTGGAATCAGGTTCACCTTATCTGAAGCACGAAGTAAATTCTGGTCTTTCTTATCTTCAAAGAGAGCAACAAGCATTTCTTGGTTTAAACAAGACATCATTTAGTGATACCAAGCCCAGACTCCTGCCAAATCCAGACTGTGGGATTTCCAGCCCATTTCCATTTAGGTGGTGCAGTTACTGGTGGCTTTGATCACATCAGGCCACCTTGCATGAAGGTAAATCCTTCCAGCTGGGAACAGAACTCAGGAATTTGCTCTTTTGTTAAAATTGTTGCCTAACTTTACAAAAACTCAGGACCTCTGGTGCAAGATTGTGAATCAGTAATGCAGACTTGTTTATCCCTTTAAGTACTTCTATCCTGATTAGAGTTAAAGCTGCTGCTCCCTGGAATAGATGGAACTGAGTGTCAGGAAGAATTTTCTGGATTTATGGAAAGAAGTGGATGGGGTGCCATGTCACTAACAGGAAGCAAAGCCTCTTTCCTGTGTAAACCCTCCAGTGTCTAGATTTTTTAAAAAAATGTATTGGAAAAGAATCATCTCAAACTACCTTGAGACCCCAAACTTTGACTTTTAACCAGTAATTAGCATTTTTAAAATCTCAGTTTGACACATCACGGAAGAGAAAGGAATGAGACTCATTATTTCTGACTCAAAGCTAAAGGTAGTTTTTTTCTTGACACTGCAAAAATGTACTGTCAAATGCTGTTCTCAGACTTTTAAAATTTTAAATTGAAACAGTTGTCCCTAGTTCAGAAAGTATGCCTTAGAAAAAGTTGATATAATTTTTAAGTTCTAAAAAAAAAAAAAAAAAAGCTGGCAGGGCATCTGCTCATCCATCGTCAAACACTGAACTGTAGAGCATCCGGGGAAAAAGAGACAAAGCTGATGTGAAATGCCAAAAAAGTGTTTTTGGGAAGTGCTGTGGAGATAGGCGAAGTCACTCCCATCTACAAGGGATAAATATAAACACAGGCAAGTTTTTCACTTTGACTAGTAAACGCCATAAGAGACATGGCTTCCTAGGAAGTTTGGGTAATGCAATTTTTGTTAAGAAAAAATTGTTATCTCCTGGAGCTCATTGCTCCCACTAATCTCATTATGGTCCTACAGAATAAGCTTCCTGCATGTTTAATGAGTGGATTAATGACTAAATGAACTACAGAATTAATTATTTGCCTTTTAGCTTCTTTAATGTTACATTGCTCTCTTTCCTCTCAATTCAACTATTCTAAAGTGTTTTATGTTTCAGTAAAGCAGTGACTTTTAACCATATTTCAGTCCCATCAGCTTCCTACTATTTTTCTGCCTTTTCTTTCCCCCAAAAGCCAAAAGGGATAGAAGGAAGGCACTGCTTATTCCCATGAAGAATATTAGCAATGAATCATTGGCCAAATGAAGCCCGGGGTGCGAGTGTCATGAATAATCTGACTCTCGCTTTCCAGTACCACATATCTCTTTTTGTTGGTCTGTTTATTCCAGTAATAACTTTCCAAGCAGTGGGCTAATTTTGACCTAGGTTTTCTGGAAATTGAATGGCAGCCAATAAGTTTCAGGCATTCAAATTTTCTGTAATTCTTAATGTCATAGAAGTTACTGACAATTGCCTTACCAAAGAAAGTTTAGTTAATGTTTTCTAAAGGGCAGTAAAAACTTCTTTCACATGCCTCTTTAGTTCATTCTAAAGATAAAAGAACCACTAGTTAATAATGATCAAAAATAGAATAAAATAATGATATTAGTGATTACAAATATTAATGGTATTAAGTACTAGATTTTGACAAAGACCAGACCTAGACGGAAAGATCATCAAAGACCAGAAGGTATTGACAAAGAAGGAATATTCGTTATTGTTGCTTATTACTAAAGAAGGAATATATATTACATGATTGATTTAAATCTAAAGAGGAATGGAAAACAAACAATGAAGGAAACCTTTAGTTCATGGATAACCATGAGAGTTTTTCAACATTCTGACAGTAATGCAGAGCACATAGGATGAACTCCCATGTTTTTCTAGGTCTTATGAACAAATCCGTAATTATTCACTTTCCTTGGAAGAATTTTGAAACTAATCCCCTGAGAATCATCCTAAGGTGGTGTTTTAATATTATGTTCTAAGCCTTTAAAATTGCTTAAAACTTAAATAAATGAAAACTATACTCTCTTGTAATTTTGCATTGTACTATGTTAACAATACCAGGCACACTACAGGCTTGAGACGGGGAAACAAACCTGAAAGTGTTAGTGAAATCCTTGAGGGGAACTCAAGTTAAGCTCACAGTTTACCACTGAATTATCTGAGATAAACCAGAGTCCTTTAGTATGAAAAAAAAATCATCCTAGAATTTGAAAATTAATCTTACTAATGCCAACTAACAAAATTACATGGGATTGATAACTGATGAAAAAATATGATGCATTTAAAAACATTAAGAAGATGTGGTTTTCTTATTTAACCACAAAATTGGAGCTATCACATATAAAGTCTTTTTAGGAACTAGAGGGGAGGTGCTGCTGGCCACTAGCTTTTCAAAGCAACACTCAATCCTTAACTAAGGAGTATTGTTTTGATGTAGTCCCAGAGAACACAACTGTGCAGTCATTGCCTTCGGTTATGGTGTCTATAATGCACATGGTCAATTACAGCCATGGCGCTGGGGCACTGTAGCCCTTAAGGGGCCATTGAAGGAATCTACTGTTTTCCAGTATTTTATTTTGGAAAAATTTTCCAAAAAGTTTCTTGTCTCCAGAATAATTGCATTACATCTGGCAGAGAATAGTATGTTTTCAAAAAGATTTGTTCATGCAAAAGGACCATCTTTTTATAGTTGGGGACACGCAAATAGTCCTATTACGTTTCTACACTAGTTTGCTATGAAATATTTTGGAAGATTCTGGTACAATTGCTATATGATCTCTTCTGCTTTAGAAGATATTTGAGCAATGTCTTCAGATGATTGGAGTCTTAATTTACTTTTAAATTTAAAAATGGGACTAGCATTTATTGAAAGTTCTCTGGACACCCAGTAAACAAAATGGAATCTATAAAATCGTGAGGTTAAGGTACGCATTACCACAACAAAATCAATAGGTGAAGGATTGTTGGAAGGAAAATCTCTATTCAAAAGAACTTGTCATTGTTGTTACCATTTTCCTTCTAGTTAGTTATCAGTTAATTTCTCAGGGTTCACATCCATAAGAGATTCAGTATCTAACCCTCACCCTTGTTTTCTCTTTATTCCAGAAGCCCCCCCAGCTTTCTGAGGATGATATCCGGCTAAAAAGGGAGAGAGACAGCTGCAGTGCCAACCCCCTGGAGCCTGCTACCAGCTCTCTTCCCCCAGATCACAAAAACATGGAAATTGAGGTTTCCGTTGCAGAATGTAAAAGTGTTCCTGGAATCACTTCTAGTCTACGTTCCACTGACCACCCCTCCCCTTTCTACTCTCCCCCCCACAATGGCCTCCTCACAGATCGCCATGAATCTCTGGATAATGATGTGGCCAGAGAGATCCGATATCTAGACGAGGTGTTGGAGGCCAACTGCTGCGATTCTGCTGTGGACGGAACTTACAACGGCACATCCTCCCCAGAGCCTGGAGCAGCCATCCTGGTGGGCAGCCTAAGCCCACCCACCCATACAGCCATCCAGCCGGAACCCACTGAGAGAGCAGCTGGCAGGCAGGCACCTCCTCACATTGAGCTCAGTAAAAGCAACTCTGCCACCATGGCAGAGGGCAGAAGAGCGAACGGCCACTCCCCTGACCAGCCCAGAGATCTGCTGGGGGAGAGCCTGCAGTCCCCCGTGAGCCCCACCTCCTCCACCAGCTCCCGCTGTTCATCCCGAGATGGGGAGTTCATGCTCACCACGCTGAAGAAGGAAGCCAGGTTTGAGCTCCGTGCCTTCCACGAGGACAAGAAGCCCTCCAAGCTCTTTGAGGACGACGAGAGTGAGAAGGAACAATACTGTGTCAGGAAAGTGAGGCCCTCAGAAGAGATGCTGGAGCTGGAAAAGGAAAGGAGAGAACTCATCCGGAGTCAGGCCGTGAAAAAGAACCCTGGCATTGCGGCAAAATGGTGGAATCCGCCCCAGGAAAAGACCATCGAGGAGCAGCTGGATGAGGAACATCTGGAGTCGCACAAAAAGTACAAGGAGCGCAAGGAGAGAAGGGCGCAGCAGGAGCAGTTGCTGATGCAGCAGCAGCAGCAGCAGCAGCAGCCCCCAGCGCAGCTCTGCCCAGACCCTGCACCCTCTCGTGAACATTCGAGCATGACTGAGAACACAAAGAAGGACATCGTCACGGAGCAGATAGATTTCTCTGCTGCGCGCAAACAGTTCCAGCTGATGGAGAATTCCAGGCAAACAGTAGCCAAGGGCCAGAGTACACCCAGGCTCTTCTCCATCAAGCCCTTCTACAGGCCTCTGGGGTCAATCAACTCAGACAGGCCACTGACTCTCTCGAGACCAGCTTCTATTGGGGGACCTCCAGAAGACAGTGGCACATCGGCAGCCAGAGGGCAGAAAGCCAGCTGTGCCCAGGAGAGCCAGTCTTCAGGAGGAGGCCAGGGCAGTACAGTTCCTCAGGGGAAGGAAGGGCCCTATAGTGAGCCCTCCAAACGCGGGCCCTTATCCAAACTGTGGGCAGAGGATGGAGAGTTTACAAGTGCCCGGGCTGTCCTCACCGTGGTCAAGGATGACGACCCTGGGATTTTGGATCAGTTTTCAAAGTCAGTCAATGTCTCTCTGACCCAAGAGGAGCTTGACTCTGGTTTGGATGAGTTGTCAGTGAGGTCCCAGGATACCACTGTCCTGGAGACCCTGTCCAATGATTTCAGCATGGACAACATCAGTGACAGTGGGGCCTCCAATGAGACAACCAATGCCCTCCAGGAAAATTCACTGGCCGACTTTTCTCTGCCCCAGACTCCCCAAACTGACAACCCCTCAGAGGGCCGAGGAGAAGGTGTCTCCAAGTCCTTTAGTGATCATGGTTTCTATTCCCCTTCTTCCACGCTGGGAGACTCTCCATCAGTTGATGACCCCTTGGAATATCAGGCTGGTCTCCTGGTGCAGAATGCCATTCAGCAAGCCATAGCCGAGCAAGTGGATAGAGCTGTGTCTAAAACCAACAAGGGTGGAGCAGAACAGCGGGGACCTGAAGCAACTCTAGAGGAAGCTGAAACTGCACCTTCCAGCTCGGAGAAGCCTCAGAGCATGTTTGAGCCACCCCAGGTGTCCTCTCCCGTTCAAGAGAAAAGGGATGTATTACCAAAGATTCTGCCTGCTGAAGACAGAGCGCTCAGGGAAAGGGGGGCCTCCCAGCCACTACCGGCAGTGCAGCCCAGTGGCCCAATAAACATGGAGGAGACCAGACCAGAAGGGAGCTATTTCAGCAAGTACTCGGAGGCTGCTGAGCTGAGAAGCACAGCCTCGCTCCTGGCCACTCAAGAGTCCGATGTGATGGTTGGGCCCTTCAAGCTGAGGTCAAGGAAGCAGCGAACTTTGTCCATGATTGAAGAAGAGATCCGAGCAGCCCAGGAAAGGGAAGAGGAGCTGAAGAGGCAGAGACAAGTCTTGCAGAGTACCCAGAGCCCCAGGGCCAAGAACGCCCCATCGCTGCCCTCCCGAACTTCATGCTACAAAACCTCTCCAGGTAAGTGAAGTTGCGCAGACCAGGTGAAGATGCTGCAGAAATCGCGTTGTTGATTCCAGCTTACAGGTTTCAATGTGGAGCCTTCTCTGTGTGTGGCTGAAGTAAGTGTCAGGGGACACTGGCATGAGGATTTCAGCATTCGGGGACATGGAACAATAGTGTCAGGGTGTCCTCTGGAAGAACTCTGAGCCTGGATGGTGTTTGCCATTTCCATGCAGAGGATGCAATAGCTCCTTTCTCATTGTTCTGCTCTCGTCTTGGTTTATTACAGAGAATTGTTCTCTTTGCCTCCTGGCTGAGGGAGGGGCTGCGTGCAGCACAGTCCCAGTCAGTGTGGACACTTGTGTGGGTGTGTTGGAGTCAGTAGTTTGACCCTCAGTATCTATAATTAAATCAAACCTATCTGATTTGGGAGATGTGTTTTACTAACCCCTTCTGAATGCTGGGTCCTTCCCCAGCAGTGGTGGTCACGACCTGGTGTTGCAGATTGACCCATAGAAGATGTTTTTGTCCATTTTGATTGAGTTTGTCTTCCTTTAAATCACCACAAAGCAATGACTTTGGAATCATGGGTGTCTCATCCATTCTTGTCCTGTGACTCACCTAGAGAAGTTGGGTTACTATACATAAAGGCAGATCTTTAATCCTTTCCCATTGCCTGGGCAGTCCCTATCTTGAATGGGTGTGGATAGTTGGTGTTAATTATAGTGGTAATTATTGTTGCTACCATTATGGATTACAGTGTGACTAGTGGTTTTTATTTTCCCATTTGGATATGATGGCAGTTCGGGATCCACACATCCCACCCTAGAGAAGGGCTACTCAAAGTGTGGTCCAAGCTAGTCCATGACTGTTTGTTCCTGGTCCATGCTAAAGTAAGTACAGATATTCACAGTATTTGAAAACTCTTGTAGCAATTTGATATTGTCCTCAAATCCAAGTGTGGGATTTTGTATTTTTTTAAAGTATTGGTCCACAGTGGATTGGGGGAAAAATGGTCCTTCACCAGAGATAATTTAAGAAGTAGTGCCCTAACATATAATTGTTGGCATTTAGCTTGGTCCATCCAGGTCTTAATCCCATCTTGACACTTGGCTTCCATCAAATCTACAATGACACAAGGTAGTTCTTTTCATTGTTAATTTTTAAATTTTGAAATAATCTCAAACCTAAAGAAAAGTTCCCAGGTATAGTACAAATATCTTTTTTATTCTGAGTAAATTGCCAACATAATGCTCCATCACCCCCAATTTTGTAGAATGTTCATCAATTTGGGTTTGTCTGATGTTTTTGCATGATTACATTCAGATTATGCATCTTTGGTAGGAATACCACAGAGTTGTTGCTTATTCTTCTCACTGTATTCAGTCAAGTAGTACATGGTGTCAGTTGGTCCCATTACAGGGACAGATGTTAGCTCTTTTCACATGATACTAATTTTGATCACTTGATTGCAAGAGTGTTTGCCAGGCTTCTGCACAATGAAGTTACTTTTTCCTTTCGTAATTAATAAATATTTTGTGGGGAGGTACTTTGGTACTACATAATCTTCATCCCACTCATCAAACTTTAAATCTATTCCTGTATTTATGTAAGTATGGTCATGGATTTCTATTATATTCCCTGGGTTATAATCTATTTCTATTATTTTTATCCTTAATTTCTTCAGATATAGCTCATGGGAGCCTTTTCAAGACTTCAGTGTCCTTTTGACATGTCCCTGTTATTCTTGGGCACATCCTCACTTCCTGGCACCATGTGATGTTCCAGTCTCATCCTGTACTTTCCTAATCCTGAAATCAGCCTTTTCTCCAAAGAGCATTAATTTCTTTTAGTGGAGAATGATATTTAGAGACCAAGATCTGGCGCTTGGTGTGCTCATTGCTATTGTCACTGTTCCCAGGCACTCTCAATAGGTAGAATGAGAGAATATGTTCTCTCTCTCTGGCTATCTACTTCCCTACCTAGCTATCTATCTTGAAAACCATGAGCTCACCCTAATACCTTTAATTCTAATCTAATGCCACAGGGTTCATTTTCTCTCTTTTCGTATTTGTAGCCTCCTTCTTGACAACAAGCTACCTGGTTCCTATTATCCTCAATCTATTTATTATTTGATTACTGCCCCCCACCCCCGCCTTATGTAAACAATCTCCTGTTTTCCTCACCAAGCAAGCGCTCCAACATCCCTTTCTGGGTGGCCACTGCTGTCCCCTTTCACCATACCCTCCTCACCCAACTTGGCTCCAACACCGCTCCCTGCCCACCCTGTTCTGTGGCTCCAGCACACCACCCTGGGCCACTGTGGCTCCTCCCACCCCTACCATAGACACCCATCTTGTTCAGCCCCACCTAATGGCTTTTGGACTAAATTGTTCAGGAAGGAAAGGGAAGGCAGGAGGAAGAGGAAAAGCACAGTGACTTTTTGACATGGTTTTTAATTCCTTCAGGTCCCAGGGCAATGGCCAGCTGAGTGTTTGAGGCAAAGGAAACTTTCGGGGAGGTTTTTTGTCCATGCTTACCAGTGACCGGGTGGCTTTTCCCAAAGATCCTTAGTTGTCAAGTTCACTTTAAATTCTTGTTGTGGGCTGGCTTGGCACAGAGATGCCATTGGGCATTCTGTATGGTATCCTAGAAAAAGTTTTTCATACCACTTGAATTCAGTCCAATCTGGGGAGCCTACTTCACAAGTAGGTGACTCTAAAGGCTCTGCAGGCATCTCAGCACCCTCTGCTTACGTGGCAGGCAGGTACCATGGTTCTCCTATCCGGTATAGCTGGCTCCATCTTCCTAGCCCTCTTTGCATTATTTCATGATAGAACCTTCGCTAAAGTGCATATGCTCAGTGGGTATTTTCAGTTTCCTTCATTCACTCCACCTCTTAGTTGAACCCCTCACCATATGGTCACCCTACTTTACTTCTAGCACATGAACAAAAATTAAGACATTTCAACACTTCCCCTAGTTCCCTGACCTGCTGTGGTCTGTTAGGCTTTCCTACCAGGCTAATATTTGTCCTCCGCAGGCTTTCCTACCAGGCTAATATTTGTCCTCTGCATCCCAGCAGCCCAGTCCCGATTTCCCCAGCACTTTTCTCCATGCAAATGCTGATCTTCTCCCCCATATCCTATCCCCATAGGACTGAGTTCTGCCCCTTTAATAAGATGGTCATTCATCCATGCAAGTCTGTGTGTGCACTGCTCCATGAACACAGTCATGATAATGACGTCTGTGCACCTCCTTCCTGCACATTTTATCTCTAGAATATTTAAAGTAGGTGCCAGGGCTTCCCAGAATTACAACGTGGATTGAAAGAAACTGAATCAAAATGCAATTTTTTTCTATTCATGCCTAGAAACGTTCAGAGTATTGCTTGGCCAGCTAGCCTCCAAGCTCGTGATCAGGGAGGAGGCTGACACGTTATTCTGAGCAGCCAAACTGGACGATTCATGGCCAGGGTCAGAACTGCTGGCTCCAACGTTGGTTTTGTGAATGGAGATGTTGCTAAGTTCCTACCGCACTACTCCACATTTCATGCCAGTGAAGGTGACTCAGCAGGTTTGTTGTGTGACTCAAATTGACAATTTGATATTAGGTGATGAAAAATATAATTTTTAACATCTCCTCTGGTGGAAATTGTGCTGGTGACATGCTGGACTTAAGCCAAGTAAAATCCACTGAGAGCCAATATGTGATAAGGAAAGAGAAATCGACTCATTCCTCCCAGCCATTCTCCAGGTGTTGAAAAGATACTTGCTTTTGCTTTTAATTTCCTTGCCTTTTTAAAGATGCAGGATGATGGGGTTTCTATTTCAAAAAGGATATAGTCATTTTCAAAGACCAATTATTAGGAAAACTTACCTGGAAATTTTGTCTGGTTGGTTCTTGTGTGATTTTTAAAGGAAGATGCGGGCCAGCCCCGTGGCTTAGCAGTTAAGTGCGCGCGCTCCACTACTGGTGGCCTGGGTTCGGATCCCGGGCGCGCACCGACGCACCACTTCTCCGGCCGTGCTGAGGCCGCGTCCCACATACAGCACCTAGAAGGATGTGCAACTACGGCATATAACTATCTACTGGGGCTTTGGGGGAAAAAAAAGGAGGAGGATTGGCAATAGATGTTAGCTCAGAGCTGGTCTTCCTTAGCAAAAAGAGGAGGATTAGCATGGATGTTAGCTCAGGGCTGATCTCCCTCACAAAAAAATAAGTAAATAAATAAAGGAAGAAGCTCCACTTAAAGTTTGTGTGATGTTTTCAAACAGAGGTGAACAAGGCAAATACAGTCCCTGCGCTCAGGGAACTTACAATTCAGTAAGAGAAACATCAAACAAAGGTGGCAATTTGATGACAGAGAAGCATGGAGAGCTGTGGGAGGAAGACCACCTCATTGAGGGGATAAGGAAAGTCTTCTCTTCTTGGGAAACTACCACCTGAACTGAAGGAGTAGATGTTGGGTTCAGCGGATGGGGGAGACTGTTCCAGTCAGAAGGGAAGGCACCTGTAAAGGCCCAAAAGGCATAGAAAACTTGGCACATGTGAGGTGCTTAAATAAGGTCAGAGTAGGTTAAAGGAAGAGATTTAAAAAAAAAGAAAAGTTCATCTGGAGCCAGACAATGAAGAGCTGTGTAAACATGTTAAAGGTTTTAGATTTTAGACTTTATTCTGGGGTCAGTGGAAAGCCAGTGAGGATTTTCAAAGGGGTAATTATCTCCACACATCTCCAAGCTGTCCTGCCTTCATCCATGAATCGATGGACTAAAAGTCTTCCTGCTTTACTGAGTCTTTTCCACCGACTTCTCTTGAGCTCTTCCTCTGGACGAGCACTTCTGAAGGTGTGCCGCCATCTTGACGAATGCCCCGTGTGTCATGTGAGAGGCCGTACTCCCAAGAATGAACACATGTGTGCCTCCTGTTGATGGTACTTAGAAGTAGACAATAAAGGAAGCACTTCTGCAGGTGTGCAAGCCTGATTTGAAGGTGTGACCCATATACTGCTGTAAAAC